GTACTAATTTTTGCAACACAACATTTTATAACTTTGATAAGAAAAATCTTAATTTTCCTGAATATTTTTGACATGCTTCTTTGGTAATTGATCAAGCAGACTTGCTGGAACATTATATCTCTAAAGATACCTAACATGTCTATGTCTTCTAAGTAAAGAGTAATTGCTGAATTTGTTACGTTTCAGAGTTTCATTTATGCTGTGCACTCAAACAAGCTCTACAGCGATCACTCAGTCACATCTTATATACTTACTGTATATACTTAGATACTTTTTTTTTGTTTAAACAGAACTTAATACTTATTCAGCAAGGACACATGAAATTGATGTAACTGACGTAAGTCACATTAAACACTTTTACACTGTTAAAAAACAGGAAACGTCTCATGACCAAATCACCAAATCAGCATATTACAATGATTTCTTAAAACAAAAACATGTAGTAACGGCTGTTACTGTAGTAAACAGTTCTTTTAAATTGTAATAATAGTTTACAATATTAAATTTTTACTGTATTTTGATCAAATAAATGCAGCCTTGGTAAGAATAACAGTCTTCATTTAAAAAATATTTAAAAAACAAATATTCTCCAAACCTTTAATCTTCCCCAAACATTTGAACAATAGTGCATATCTGAATATTTTACAAGAAACTTAAAATATATAGTTTCTATCCTTAAAATCAGTCATCAATGATTACATCATTTTCAATGCTTCAATAAATGTTACATCAAAAAATGTCCTTTTATCTGATTTACAAATACTTCTTTGCTTTAAATCAAAATTTGTAATGTTTTTTATTTTATTTATTATTATTATTTTTATTATGTCTGTGTAAAAATGAATAGGAAAAATACTTCACAGAACCAGGACCACTACTAAAAGTGGGCAAGCACTGTTGCACTCTATAGAGCCACAAAGTTTACTGCTATTTGCCTCTTTTTCCACATATGTACTTGATTCAACCATTACAAATGCTGTGGGCTGTTTGGTAGATTAAATTAGCTGGAATTAAATCATGTAGGTCTGTAACTCTCCCAAATGAACTTCTCATCCCCCCATATGAATAAGTGAATGGCCTTGGTTACCTCCAGGTAAGCAGACAGAGTCATGTAGATTTTCTCTCCGTAAGGAGTGACACGGTTAAGCAGCAAAGAGTTGTGCATGGATGAATCCCAAGCAGCCTCAAAATGGTAGAATGTCCTAGATTAACAGTAGAAAATAGCCTTAAAGATATAATTTAATTTATAGACCAAGGTGAATATACATATTCTCTTATGTTATCATTTTATAGATGCTATTGTTAAATGCTACGCTAATACATAATAAATATGGTCAGCTTGTTAGGCAAAGCACTTACATCTGATAAATCAGATCATATTGTATAAAGTGACATTCTAAGAACACAAAAGTGTTTAAAAATGGCGAGGAGTGAAGACAATACAAATGCATGCAACACAAGACTCTAACTTCATCACTAGATATGAATACCACCACCAACGATGTGTAAATCAATGACAGTTATCAATAAAAATACAAAAATCAAATTAAAATAAAGAGGGATGAAAGAAATGATCATTAGAGGAGGGAGGCAGGTACAAGGGGACACATATACCTAGGATCAATCCCCAAGGAAATGCTTTAGGTGGAGAGGAAAGAATCAATGATAGAATCATAGGTAAGACAGTTCAGAGAAGTAAATTACGGCCTCTGGTTGTTATTATATTGCATCTTCTATCAACTCACATCAGCTCTGTTATGGTCTCACAGACCTCAAATGAACTAATATTGGCCCTGAAGTTATGCTATACCATGAGAAAGTACATGAAAATAGTATGGGTTGCATCTTACTCATAAATTATATTCACCTTGCTGAACTTCCAGCCTACCCACCCTCGCTCTGATATAACCTGCTGAAATGATCACAGATTAGATTTCTGGCCCTCGGCCTGGGAAGGGTGAACCAAATGCCTGAGTCAGAAGTATATGAGAGGGGCCGAGCTTCTCTGAGGTATGTGATAGATTGAGCTTGTGTGCTTTAGATGTTGAGTGTTAAAGGGAATGGATCTGCATGACCCAGTAGGCAGCTTTGAGGCTGTCATTCAGACATGGAGAGAGAAAAAAAGAAGGGGAAGAGGTCCTGGAAATTGATTTGTTGAAGGGATAGAGAGAAAATAATTAGACAATGCGGGAGAAATTTCAAAGGTCACTGTGGGGTTGTGATCAAGGCTAAGGTCTAGAGCAGACCATCCCACTTCTTTGCCTACTGAGGACTGAAAAGGGATTTTTCATCCAAAAAATAATAATAATTCTGTCATCGTTTAAGGCTGGAATACACTACATGACTTTTGCCCAGATTTTGGCTCCTACTTGTAGTCTGGATGAAGTGACAATAGTTGCCGAATGTCAGAGCCAGTCTGCAGATTCTGGGCAGGTGGAGTTAACAGATTTCACAGTAAATTGTGTACTCTATAATGGTCTGGTGTATGATGCCTAGGTTTTTTTTCTGTAACCATTTACAAAGTCGGCAGGTATATGATGCCTAGTGTTTTAAAATCTGTTCAGATTCCAAAAGTCATGTAGTGCATTCCAGCCTTTACCTAACTTTCATGTTATTCTAAAACTGTTTTACTTTCTTTTTCTGTGTATCATAGATATTTTGAGAAGCGTCTCATTGTTTTTTTTGTTTTTTTTGGTCCATACAAAGGAAAACAATGGGCTCCAATGTTGTTTGGTTCCCAACATTCTTCAAAATATCTTCTTTTTGGAGACACAAAAGAAATTAAGTCAGGGATTAATACAGATTTGGAATAACATGAGTGTGAGTAAATGATGACAGAATTTTAATTTCATAATCTTATACCCAGTTACCATAACCATATACATCTCCTAATAAGTAGTAATTTAAGGAGAGACACACTTGCCTTGAAGTATTTCTATTTTTCGGTAAATAGACTCTGCCTTGTCGATTTGGAAAATAGTTTTACAATATAGAAAATTCACTGTCCTGCAACAGAGTTTATGTTTAATATTTGCAAAAAAACATTGATTTGAAACTTAGTTTGGACTTGACATAGACTTGGCCTAGCAAGACCTAGCAAGATTCCTAGAGACTTCTGGATATGTCTGCAAATGAAAAATCCATATTGATCTTCCACTATTCTCACAGGTCCCATCCATATATATATATATATAT